ACACAACTTAAGTCCAAATGGATTAAAGATCTCAACATAAATCCAGGCACACTGAACCTCTTAGAGGAGAAAGTGGGAATTAACCTTGAATGAATTGGTACAGTAGCACACACACTGAGATCGACAATTAATAAAAGGGATCTCCTGAAACTGAGAAGGTTCTGTAAGGTAAAGGATACAGTCAATAAGACAAATAAATGGCAGCCCACAGAATGGGAAAAAATATTCACCAACCCCAGATCTGACGGAGGGCTTATTTTCAAAATATACAAAGAATTCCAGAAGTTAGCCGGCAACACACAAAACAATACAATTAAAAAGTGAGAAACATTGTACAGCCACTTTTTAAATCAGTATGGAGATTACTCAGAAAAATGGGAATAAACCTCCCACAAAACCCAGCAGCTCGACTCTTAGGCGTATATCCAAAAGATGTGCATTCATACAACAAGGATGTCTGTTCCACTATGTTCATAGCAGCATTGTTTATAATAGCCAGAACTAGATGCCCCTCAACTGAAGAGTGGATAGAGAAAATGTGGAATATTTACACAATGGAGTACTATTCAGCAGAAAAAAACAATGGAATCCTGAAATTTCCAGGCAAATGGATGGCACTAGAGGAAACCATCCTGAGTGAGGCAACCCAGTCACAAAAAGAGAAACATGGCGAGTACTCTCTCATATATGGATTTTAGATATAGATCTGGGGAGTGCCAGCCTACAATCCCATGGCCAGAGAGTCTGGGAAACAGAACCTTCATTCAGTGGCTGATGGAAGCTGAGGCAGACTCCCAAGGCTAAGCACTGAGCTGAACTCAAGAAATCCAGTGACAGAGAGGGAGGACTGATGACCAAAGGGGTTAAGACTGGGCTGGTTTAACCCCCAGAAACAGCTGACCTGACAAGGGTTAGCTACTGAATCCCAGACTGATGCCTGGGAATCCAGCATGGGACTGATCAAGACCCCCTGAATGTGGGTGTCAGTGAGCAGGCCTAGGTAATTTATTGAGCCTTGGGTAGTAGATCAGTGTTTATCCCAGGTATACAAATGGACTTTTGGCTCCTATCCAACAATGAGAGATGCACTCTCACCCTGGACTCTTGGGCCCTGCTCTGGATGAAATGACAGACTATGGACACCCCGATGGAGGGCCTCACACTCCCTGGGGAAATGAGGGGATATTGAGGGGGATTGGTGGGAGGGCGCTGAGGAGGAGAGGGAAAGGGAGAGGGACCTTGAATTGACATGTGAAGCAACTCTGTTTCTAATTTAAATTTAAATTTAAAATAAAATATAAAAAAGTGAGGAACAGAGTTAAATAGAGAATGCTCAGTAAAGGATTCTAAAATGGCTAAAAGATACCTAAGAAGTGCTTACAAGTCAAAACAACTCTGAGATACCATCTGTCCCTATCAGAATATCTAAAATCAAAAACACCAAGGACGGTTTATTGTGGAAAGGATGTGGAGAATGGGGAACTGTTGGTAGCAGTGCAAACTCGTACAGCCACATTGGAAATCAGTATGGTGGTTCCTCAGGAAAATTGAAATGAGTGTACCACAAGATTCAGCATATACCCAAGAGATACACATTCATACAAGTACATCTGTTCAACTATGTTCATAGCAGCATTATTTGTAATAGCCAGATCCTGGAAGCAACCTAGATGCCCCTCAACTGAAGAGTGGCTAGAGAAAATGTGGTATATTTACACAATGGAGTACTATTCAGCGCAGGGGGGAAAATGGAATCTTGAAATTCTTAGGCAAATGGATGGCACTAAAGAAACCATCCTGATTGAGGTAACCCAGTCACAAAAAGACAAACATGGTATGTACTCACTCATATATGGATTTTAGACATAGTATAAAGGATTACCAGCCTATAATCCACACCGCCAGAGAAGCTAGGAAACAAGCAGGACCCTAAGACGTCTGGTCCTTTGGCGAAGGGGAAAGGGACGAGATCTCCTGAGCTAATTGGGAACATGGAGGGAGGGCAGTGGCAGTTAGGAGAAAGAGAATGGGAGAAGAGGAGGGGAGAGAAGGTCATGAGGGAGCAGGAAGTTTGAGTCAGGGAATAGTAGAGAAGAGCAAGAAAAAGATACCGTAAAAGAGGGAGCTATTATAGGTTTAAAGAGAAATATGGCACTAGGGAAATGTCCAGAGAGCTACACAGCTGACCTCAACTAACAATCTAAGCAATAGTGGAGAGGCTGCCTTTAACACCCTTCCCCTATAATGATATTGATGACTACCTTATAGCCATCCCAGAGCCTTCATCCAGTAGCTAACGGAAGCAGAAGCAGACACTCATATCTAAACACTGAGATGAACTCCTGGAATCCAGACAGAAAGAAGTGGTGAGCAAAAATGTCAAGGCCTAGCTGGAGAAATCCACAGAAACAGCTGACCTGAACAAAGTGGGGGGGGGCTCATGGATGCTAGACTGACAGCTGGGAAAGGAGCATAGGACCAATCCAGACCCCCTGAATGTGGGTGTCAGTGAGGAGGTCTTGGCAATCTGGATATAGGTTAGTATTTATCCCTAGCATATGAATGGACTTTGGGAGCCCATTCCATATAGATTGATACTCTCCCAGCCTAGACACAGAGGGAAGGGCCTAAGCCCTGCTTCAAAGGATAAGACAGACTTTGAAGATCACCCATGGAAGGTCTCACCATCCCTGTGGAACAGAAAGGGAATGGGATAAGGGATTGGTGGGGGCAGGGAAGGAGGGAAGGGAGAGGGCACTGGGATTGACATGTAAAGCCAGATCGTTTCTAATTTAAATTTTTAAAAAGGGAAAAAGAGAAAAAGAAATGCCCCCAGTAGCAAAAATATTTGGGGTTTCCACATTCACTCATTGTAAAAATTTCAGTGAATATCATCAATGTATTGAGCTGTTAATAGACAGCCATCAGGCATGATTGAAACCATCCAAGTACCAAAAATCCAGTTCTTAAATGCTTATCAAATGGTATCACTCAAAAAAACATTCAATTAGATTAAAGAAGAACACAAACAAATATGGGTACTTAATTTATTAATAGCCTGATTGTTCCTAGGATGTTGAGAATGTGGGCTCTGTGGCAGGGAGACATACACACACACAGTTCTAATTAACACCAATCACACACGCTAATGGTAGAACCTACTGCTTAAGTAAATGAACATCCTTACCCCCGCTGCTTTGAAGAGCCTGATAGGCATGCACTTTATTGACAAAGTAAGCTAATTTACAGAGTGATTGTCCAAGAGGGAACTGCTGTTTATTTGCAGAGTTTTTCCCATTGAACTCACAGGGCAAACATAGCACTTACATTGTTAATTAAAATATCAACAGATAAAAACGTAAACATGGGGTTTTCTTCAGAGTGACATAACCTCATTCACTATCAGATCCTGATGTATCCTGACCATTGATTTCTGAGGACAGTAAGATCTAGACAAAGCTTAAGTGACTCAGCTTCATGAACAAAGGTGAGAGCTTACTGTGACAGAAACAGGAAAGCTTGAATCTGCTCATTCTTTGAGCATCTAGAAACCTGTGGAGCACTACATCCCTTTGTGCTGTTGGTGATACATATTTGCAAGTACCATAAAGGAACATCCTTAGTTTGAGTAATTGAGGGTGGTTTGAAGATAGTATGCTGATGGTGAGCTTCTTTAGTAAGTGAGCATAACTTTAAAAAGAGGGTTTTTTTCCACATTAGCTCTGAAAGGGAACTGTGATTCATATCTTAAGCAAAATGTTTTGAACCTTCCTTTCCTGCAAGTGTGCCAGGTAATTCTGTAAAAGAAGCCTGCATTGCTATGAAATACTGTCATCGGAAGGTACACGCTCTGTTAGTTTGATTAGTTTGGGTGGGTTTCTTTCTCAATTATTTTATCTACTTTGTCCTCTTAAGCTACCTGCTCAAGAGGAACTCTCACCTGGTTGTTTTCTCAGAAGGTAGGGAGAATAGCCTCACTATTTTGAACCAAGTCTGGTTATCTCAGGAAATACATATGTGATGGATCTGACCTTCAGTGCTGAGAAGAGTTCTTAAATACACTTCCTTGGGTCTAATTTTTCTTTTCAGATTTGATTCTTGTGAAGTCCAGACTTGTTTTAGCGGTTGGTGGCAGCTAGGGGGTGCGTGTGAGTGATCAGTGAGATTCCAATAGATTTCTTTTCTTACATCCTTGTGAACAGTCAGATTTTATCTATATCTGGCACTGTCATTCCATCTGAAGATAGCTAAAAGGAGGAATCCATAGCTGGTTGAAGAGAGGAGGGGAACTAGGTTAGCAGGTGAGGGAGGTCGGAGATGCTGATGCAGAAGACTTCCACTTGCCACTGGCCTGAAGTTCATAATGAATGGTTCTCAGCAGTTATTATGGAATTCTTCAGACAGTCATGAATATGAGCAGTCAGGCATACACACACACACACACACACACACACACATATATATATATATAAACTGTGAGTGTGTAGTGTGTGTGTGTGTGTGTGTGTAGCAAAAGCATGCATGAAATAGTGAGATAAGAATTTGAAAAGATGGGTTTCCTAGCTTATATACATGCTCTTTATCACATGGGAACTATGATGGGAGATAATATCTGTCCTTATTGCCCTTTTCTACAGTTTTGCTAGAAGGACCAAGGCAAGGTTTTATCAGCCTAAGCAGACAATACACTTCCCAGTGAACTAGGGGACCTTGGGTGGTGGGCTTAGGCAGCATTTTTGTAAGGAAAGAATAAAATGTGTCAGCAGTTTTAGCATGTAGAACTCTTTGGTGCTTTATCTACTTGAAGCTTTAAATCCAGTCCTTAACAATCAACTTGGAATTTGAAGTCACCAGTGAGAGTCTGTAAATTAAAAGTTTCTATTAGTCCTATTTACAAGTTTTACAAGGCAAAATGAATTCTAATAGTATTTAGCCCAAACTAAAAAGAATTGTTATCATTTCAAATATGTTATCAATAGAAGCTTGCTTAGATTATATACCTTTAAGTAAATGTTTGAAGTCGGCTGTGTATTTTATACTTGTCTCACATAGTAGTTTGGTGTAGTCATATTTCAAATTCTTAACAGCCACATGTGGTTCATGGTGACTCTAAGAAACAATAGAAATGTAAGCCTCAGGTCAGAACCTACACACAGGGAAGCTATGCTAAAACTGAGTTTCATTTTTCTCAAAAAAAAATTAGAAGGAAGACCAGGGTCACTACAGACATTCTAGTGATGTGAGGCTTAATCAAGGCCAAAGCCAAGCCCGAGGCAGTGGAGAGCAGAGCACTGAATAGTCTCTGAACTTGGTGGGGCATACTCAGGCATCATGAAGTACTGCTTAAGAAATAGCAGTCTCCTAAGCTGGCATGATTGCAGAAAAACATGTCAGCTCACAAGAAGTAGCCAAAAAAGAAAAATAGCTTCTCAAGCTTCAACCCTTTCATGACCAAAAAGTCTTTCAACTCTCAGGCAGTTGAGCATTTGAAGTTTTTATTTTCTTTGTGAGAAATCTAAAGTACATTAACTTATGGTCCTCTCTTGCTGTGACTCCCTAACGCTGTGTCTGTTTTTATCTGCAGTCCCAATCACTAGTACTGACACAAGGTACACACTCAGTAAATGTCAAATAAATAATTGGTTACTTGAGCACAATTTGTGTTTTTAAAACAGTGTGAAAAAATATTGCAAAACTTGTTTTATAATACTTTTCTTTTCAACAATGCAATTGAAGGCGAGGGTGTAATGATTTGACTAGATGTAATAACTGTTTATTGAAGATATTATGAAAAACAAAAAGAGTATATATATATATATAGTCACAAAAAATCTTATGTTTAATGTTACCTTATCCCTCAATATTATAATTGTGAATGGGTTTATAATCTTATGCTATGACATCTGGCTAAACACTGTCTCATCCTTAGTCCCTTGAAGACTTCCATTGTCATCTTCTTATCAGGGTATTGGTAAGTTCCAGTGCCATTGTCACTACCACACTCCTAGTGACACCTTTTGACCTCTAAATTGTTTAATAAAAACCTTTTCTTCCTCTTTACACCATCACATCTTATTTGTTAAATCTAAGATCAGCTGACCTCAAATTGTGTAGAAGATAGCATTGTTTCTGATCATTCCATGCCACTTATGTAGGACTCCATTAGAGAAAAATTGTCTTCATGCAAAGGTTCATACAATTCTCAAATCTGAAACAGCCACTCAGATTGTACATCACTAAAACCATATACATTTGCTTCAGCATAGCATTCTTAAATCCTGTTTATCTGTCCTTTTGATCAACTGGGGATCTTCTTTTAAAAGTTGCCCACTTCCATGAAGTTTCTCCCACCAGTGAAGTATCAGGGGGGATTCTCCTGTTCAGCATTTAAAGGTCTCAGGTTACATCAATGTGCAACTCCAAATATCAATCAACAAATTAATACTGGTGTTATTGTCACTGTGGCCAAATGCTTGACAGAAACAGCTGAAGAGGGAAAAATATTGATTCACCTTATGATTCAGACTGTTTTCTAAATCATAGCAGGGAGGCAGGCTCACTGGAGCAGGACGAACCAGGATCCCCAGGAAGCAGAGTGGAGCAGGAAGGGGCCAGGCCAAGATAGAGCCCCCAAGGACATAATACCCTAGCTTCAAGCTTCTTTCAGGTAGGTATGAATTCTAGCTAGTCACCACCTCCCAATAGTACCATCCTGTGGTAGCTCCACCAACGGAACAACCCATTGTTTTGTCACAGCCTTTTGATCTAATCCTCTCTGAAAATGGCCTCACAGACCACCCTGGGGTATGTTTCACTACTCTGGGTGGTTGTCAGTTCAATCAAGTTTAACCAAGACTGAGAACAAAGGTTTGCTCTGTCAAGACATATCTTATTTGACTGTAAATCAGGACGCTACCAGGATTTTCTCCATCAAACAATCAGCATGGAAAGTAAATGGGACAGTGCCCAAACTTCAACCATTTTTAGCTTTATGATCTGAAAAGGCATTTTCTCTGAAGCCCAGATTCATCGCTGGTAACATGATATACTTTTGCCTTATCACAGCATTTCTGAAGACATCCTTAGGATTTCCCTGCCTCCAAGTCATCTGTGAATGCTTATTAGAAACACAGAGAGCTCATCTCCTTTGCTCTCTATAAATATTTACCCAGTGTCCCAATCCTGTCCATGCACTGTGCCATCTGAGTTATCATGAGTCTTGAAGAGCTAAGGACTATGGAGTGGGAAAGATCTTGACAAAATGATACCCACCCTGTGATTATAAACAGAAATGCAAGGAGGCATTCTAGAAATCCTCAAACCTACCTATATTCTCATCCCGTTCTAGTGTTTTGTTTTACATTAAAATGGGCAGCACCTCCTTTGGTAAACAATGGGCTGCAAAAAGGAACAGCTGCTTACATTGCTGGCTAGTGACATCTGGGTTTCATGGTAGTTATGTACAATAAACCTATTGATGACAAATCTTTTCAAAAACAAGTTTCTGTTCCTAAAACCCCTTCTTCTTTGACAATAAACCTGAGAGTAAGTTTTTAAAGATCCAGAAGTATGCCGGGCGGTGGTGGCACACGCCTTTAATCCCAGCACTAGGGAGGCAGAGGCAGGTGGATCTCTGTGAGTTCGAGGCCAGGCTGGACCGACAGCCTCCAAAAACAATACAGAGAAACCCTGTCTCGTAAAACCAAGAAAAAAAAAAGATCCAGAAATATTTTTTCTTCTGTGATTTTACATACCAACCCCTGTTCTTCCTCCCTCCCCTTCTCTTACCACCCTGCTTCCCACCCTTCCCATCCCCCCATCCACTCCTCAGAGGTCATAAGGCCTTCATTGGGGAGTTAACAAAGTCTGGCATACCAAGTTGAGGTAGGACCCCGTCCCTCTGTATCCATGCTGAGCAAGACAACCCACCATAGGAAGTGGGCTTCAAATGACCAGATCATGCCCCTGGGATAGATCCTGGTGCCACTGCCAGCGCCCCCTCCCTTACTGCCTTTCCAGCAATGGATCAAGTCATACAACTATCACCCACATTCAGAGGGGTTAGTTTGGTCCCATACAGGTTCTCCAGCTGTCAATCCATAGTCCTGGAGCTACCTCTATTTCGGGTCAGCTATCTCTATGTTTTCCCCATCATAGTCTTGACTCTCCTTGCTCATATATGATCCCTCTTGCCTCTCTTTACCTGAACTCCAATGGCTCAACCCAGTGCTTGGCTGTGGGTCACTGTGTCTGCATCCATTAGTTACTGGATGTAGGTTCTATGATGATGATTTGAGGAGTCATTAATCCCATTAAAGGGGAAGGACTATTACCACAAGTAAGGCTTCAGAAGTCTGCCTTAGAATTTTACCCATACCAGTGGGCAACTTCACCCCCAGTGGGAAGCCATTGCTAGATTTCACACTGTGTTGGATACAGATAAAGAAGGATTGTTTTTCCCTACACTGTATATTAATCATTTTGTCATCAATGAAACCACAGTGGCGATTAATCATACACATAATATCCAATATTTCTGTTAGATTCCTAGCCCCAGTACAAATTATGTTAAGAATTAATCCATTTTATTTTTCTTAATCTTCTGTTTTCAGTCTCTCTCCAACTGTACACTGTTCACTCAACTTTTGTGCAGAAGGGCTCCAGTTGTCTATCTGACACCTGGAATCTTAATAATCAATACCAGTGAGAGGAAGTTGACCACAGGTTTAACACGCCATGAATAAAAACATTGAATCCAAGGTTAGCACAGGTTACATCGAAGCTTTGTGTGACTTCAAAAAGAAAGGGAGGAAAATGAAAGAGAGGCAGAGAGACAGAGATCAAGAGACAAAGACAAAGAGAGAGGGGGGGATGAAGAGAGGGAGGCAGAGGAAGAAAGGAAGGAAGGAAGGAAATAAAGAAGGAAGAAGGGAAAGCAGTTTCTTCAGGCATTAATATCTATTCCCGGAGGACGTTCCAAACACAGCTTGTCTGGCCATTTCCCCCCAAACAGACACCTTCTGTTATTAGACTTGCTGTGTTTGCCACCCAGCCTGGTGGAACGGCCCACTTCAGCAATTTCAAATCACAGTTAAATGCTGATGCCCCCAGGGCTTTGACTACTGCAAAGTGAGCTCGCAAGTTGCAGAATCTTCCCTAAAGTGTGCTATAGGGCGGTAAATTTCACATGATGGCTATTAAGGGGGCAGAAGTTGTAGTCTGACCATCTTAAAAATCAGCTCTTCTCCTGGGGCTTTCCGGTCAGGCCTGAGAAGGCGCCCAGAACAAACCAGCCAGAAGCAGTGTGTAGTATTGATTAATTGGGGGCCAGGCCATCCAGTGTTTGAAACTTTTATGTATCTGATGGAGGACTGTGTTTAATGTAAATGATAGACCTTACATTGCAGGAAGAATATTTTAAACAGAGGGACCACTGCAAAGCCACACGCTAACAAACGCTCGATAAATATCAATTAATGATGAGGACTTCAGAGGGCAGCTCCAGTAAGTGGAGAAATGAAACCTGGCCACTATGTGGGCGATTCAGACACCACTGAGTATAAAGTAAACACGAAGAACAATATTTAAAAGCCAGTCATTATTTGAAGAAGAGTATGCTTTTATTAGGTTAGAAGGCTCATTTTGGCTCAACTCAAAGTTAATAAAATACTAGGCTTTCTCCTCTCTCAGGTACATCGTATGTGGCTCTGGACACAGGCCACAAAATTGGGTAGTGAATAAAATACACGAAGTACATGCCTTAAATGAGGCCATGTTTGATATGACAGACAATCACACAGCAATAATAATCAACACGTCTGGCTCATTAAAAAGTCATCTGAAATGTCATTTTGACATTTACCAGGGATTACTTGAAGTGGTGAATAAGTCTTTTGAGCACCACCATTTACCTGTCACTCAGCGCAGAGCAAAGCATATTGCCCACCTTAGATCAAAGTACTGGCTGGTCATGTGATATGCTGGCTAACATTGTAGCCTTAATAGTTTAAAACTTGACACAATGAGGTAAAACCCAGTATATCTATGACTCAGAAAAGCTAAGGCAGGATTTAAACCAAAAATAAAGGCACAAAAAAGAAAGCATTTTCAGTTAAAAGGTACCATTATTGTGAAGTCACTGAGTTCAAACACATTTCTGAGATGTTGATCATGACAAGATATTTCCCTTTTTTAAACAGAATTTGTAACATCCACATTCAAGTCCATGAAAAACCTTTGAATGACAGTTGCTGAACATGCCCAGGACTTTATAAAGCCAACTTATATGTTGATAGTAGCAAATGACTATATTTAGGAAGTTGTACATAAACAGAGACATTCAGTAATTATCACAGTTGCTGCTCATTTCAATGGGAGGAGACAGCACAAACAAAAACCAATTATTTCATTTATGAAGCACAAAAGATGCTCTTCAAATCATAAAAATCATAATTCAGCTCTACTTCATAAATTCTGAGTTACCTATAATTCTTTACACTTAATAGTATGGAAGGTTCACATGTAGGGGAAGATTCATAGGTTAACTTTAAAATATTTTAAGGGGTAAATATTAAAATTTATGTGAAGCTTAGGTAAGAGGTTGGCCAAGGTGTTCCAGGTACAAGGCCTGACTAGGCAACACAGAAATCTAATCTCAAGTTTGCATGTGTGTGTGTGTGTGTGTGTGTGTGTGTTATATGTGAGTGCTGTAATATATGTGTGTGTTAGATTATATACATGTATGTGTGTGCGTCTGTTATTGCATATACATGTGTGTTCACATAAATCTAATTCAATAAAGATTTCCACGGATCCAGAACTCACAAATATGCTTATTAATGCATTAAGCATACAATCTCTACTTGTCAAAATTCCAGCTTCTATTATATTCCCTGGCAAAGTCACTGCATAGAACTTAGAACCTTTACTTCCCCCACACTTGTGTCATACATCTATAATTCAACAACACCCAGATCTAGAGCAAATATAGCAAAGACACAAAGCAGGGACTGTAATAACAGCATTTCCTTTAGCAACAGTCACACCTTTGTCCTGTGAAATCCCAACACCAACATGGAAGCACAAACTTCTCCAAAAACGTCCTGGTATGCATTCTTCTTGAATGCCTTAAGGTAATTGTACTGTACCTTATTTATTTATTTCACACTTATTTGTGTGTGGAAACCTGACAATCACTTTCAGGATTTTGTTCTATTTTTTCACTATTTGGGTTCTGGATATGAAACTGCTTTATAAAAAGCAGCTTTACCATTCATACCAGCTGAGAGATCACTCAGGTCCAGTCACTGCATTTCCTATTTTGTTTTTGAAACCATCTTCTTTTCCATTCCTCTCCAAAAGTAAACTATCGTTTCTAAGGTTTGATAGCATCCCTGAATGATAACACTTTGCACATTTGTTAAAAGAGTGAAATATGCTGGGGGGCATGCACACATGCATGTGAATACATCTTTGAGTGTACATACATGTGAATGTATCTGTGAGTATGCATGCCATATATATGTGATTTATGTGCACATAAATAATTGTCCTAGGCTATGAGAAGTCTAATGTTTTAAAATGACTATCAATATCTTGGGATATGCTTCAGTTAGTAAAGGATCTAATACACAAGCTTAAGGACTTCAGTTTGGATTCTTAGGACCCATTTAAATATCTGGACATTGTGACATATAT